TTGGTGTCACAAGCACACATGGAAGTGACATAACAACTCACAACATCAAACCACAAATTTAACAATTAATTATAGATGTTTGGATGAGAAAAACACACAGTTCGACAGTTATCCCACCAATAAGATGTACCTCACTAGTTTCTGTTTCAGGTGAAAGTGCCATGCCAAAGTCTAAGTTCAGCACTAACCATCATTTGGCTACAATTGCAAAGCTTTCCTGAAGCTTTCAACAGCAACATCACATAATTAAGTGTCATGTTTGCTTGCAGATGCGTATCGAAATCATGAATATTATAATGTGCTTGAATTGACGGAAAGTGCAAAAGAATAAAACCAAAAGGCAGCTTCTAAGGAAGGTTATCGGGATGCTATGCTGCATCTTAACAATTTGTTTGCCATACTACCTTCTCAACAACACATTCGACAGCAGAAAACATGACACCCAATTCTAGAATATCGGTAAATTATAAGCAATATCCTATTTAATTCAAACCAATCATGATGGTAACAAGCGTATATCTGACATGAAATAGGGCAAAAGGCAAAAATCATCTGAAGGGAAAGCATGCTCTTTACTTATTTTGCACTTTTTCGAATTCAAATTTAAAAGCGATAAAAAAAAGCAAATTGTATGTACCCCAATTTCATTTTAAAATCAGTGAAGGAGCTCATTTAATCCAATGAAGAAGCTTTAAAGAAGAGGGTAAATTAAAGAAGCCAATTTTATGAATTTACCCATATGTTGGTGTGGAGCGGACTGATGTTTATTGCTCCATTTAATTTTCCTCCATGCTTGGCATTCGAATAGCTTAAATCAGAGACTACTCTGCTTCATTTGAGCTTGGATCTTGGGTTTTCAAATCATTCTCAGAGCTGAAAGCCTCCATTTACTTGTATAATTTGAATAGCTTGGATCTTGAATTTCAAACAATTCAAATCACAAAAACAACAGAAAATGAGAGCCAAGATAGTTAGTGACCATGAAGACAGAGGAAGCGACGGAGAAAGTGAAAGCACTGACTCAAAATACGAGAATCAGTGAGTTGAATCCTCTGAGTTTACGGAGAGTCACGGTGCTGTGAAAGTGAGGGGAAGGGGTGTCACCGTTAAGGAAAGCCTGGAGCGACGCATGATGAACGGTCGTGAATATGAGAGTGATGAAGGGAAAGGGAGGGAAAGAGAGAATCATGAGAGAAAAGTGAAAGTAATTCGGAGGGGTAGTGAAAGAGAGTCACGGGGAAAGTTGTTGGAGTCGAGGGATTAGGGCAAACTTGCGGCGTTTGCACTAACAAATTACGGCGTTTGAAACTAAAAAAATGTCACTAATGCACTAACAAATTGAGGTTTTTATTAAAAACGCCACTAAAATTTAAGCATCTAACCGTGTTTGTTTAAAAACGCTATTAAAGTACGACATTTGTTAGAAAAATACCACTAAAGTACAAGTTTGTAGTTGCGTTTGTCTAAAAACTTCGTTAATGTTACAATTTTGTGGCATTTAGTTGAAAACATCGCTATATGTATAAAATTAATAGCGTTTACTTTCCAAACGCTGTTGCATACCTGTTTTTCTATAGTGTTAGAGGAAGAATAAGAGGAAAAGTTGTTTATTTTGTTGAAAAAATGTTTTAAATATATGTATGAGTTTGTGTTTAGTTAAATGTTATTTATGAATAGTTTTCAATTATATATGAAAAATTAAAAATAGATATAGTTTTTTTATATTCATAAATTATCCAAAACAGGTACGTTATTTATGAATAGTTTTCAATTATATATGAAAAATTAAAAATAGATATAGTTTTTTTATATTCATAAATTATCCAAAACAGGTACAACAGACAACATGTGAATAGAATTAAAAAGGTTTTATCAGCCTGATCAATATTTTGGGAGATGTGGATAGTGCTTCATGTTATAGCCTTCACCTCTGCAGTGGTCACAAAACTTTGGCAAACCTTGCTCTCATTGAGCGTCATCCATATCAGTATGAATTCAACTAGATTCAAAACAACCTTCCACTTTCTACGTAATTGTAGATTTAGCAACCATTCTTTAGAAATTGTTGGAGGCTAATAAGCATCGTTTGGGAGATATTTAAACTCACAATTATATATGTTGTGCATACTATGTAGGCTATAAGAATCATCAGCGTATGAGTATGGGTCTACATTAACATGCATACATGAAACAACAGTGTGAGCTCATGGGTATCTAAAGGCTTGAAGTCGACTGCAATCACATCATCTTCTATTTTGATTACTGGTGAAGGTGGAAAAATCCCAACCCTCATGTGGTCGAACAAGTGCATGGACAATGTAATCAGAATCGAGTCTGGTGAAATTATGAACAAACATTAATGTTGCATGTGTTTGATTTTTTTTCATTGTCTTCTCTAGGTTTGGAGCCCAATTTTTTCCATCGTTGATCATTGCCTCTACTTGTGCACCTTTGTCTACCCAAACTTTAATCAATCTGAAGTAAGTCTCCCAAACAATACTTGCTACTGGAAGATGTCTAGTCCTTTTATGCATTGAATTGATACATGCAACAAGATTGATTGTCATATGATTGTAATTGACCTTATCATCATATGTATATGACCATCTTTCCCTAAGTATTTCAACTTTAAAGTTATAAACATCTTCTCCATATTTCCTTGAATTTTCCAACCTTGCACGGAAGTTCGGTTGTATTAAACCATATCTTGAAAAAAAACTGAGATTAAGAATAATAATAAATGAAGAAAATAAATGAACAAAAAAGAATAAAATACCCATATTGATAATTTTTTTCTTGATCTTCTTGTTCTTAAACTTCATCATAGCATTGGAAGTAATATGACGCATACAATACGTCATATATGCGTGGGGAGGCTACCACCTCGGTCTATCAATTGTACGAATAATCTCAATCACCGTATAATAGTTTCATAGCTTTCCTTTTCTCCATCTATGACTTGTAGTAAGACAAAATATAACCAAATGTATTCCATATTGACGCCATTATCATTGAAATCGAGATCCTTGGATTTTTCTCTACCAAAATCTTGACGTATGAACATATGACATCAGAATCTAAGTGCTTATGGTCTTGTGTCAATGAGCTCAATGTATAACTATGTTGATCGTGGAACCTTGTGACTTCCCAGAATATCTTCTACTGTAAGTATGTATCCTCCACTTGCAGCCGATATTGTGGTTTATACACCTAACAAAATATGTCTTTTGATCAGACTCCACCACATGGAATTCTATATGAGTTTTGATACATAACTCCTTGACTTCTAGTTAGACATCCTTCTTAGTTTCAAACTAGGACCCAACTATTAACTCTGTTGATCAGTCGTCGGAGGTACCTTAGTGGGATGTACATATATTCAACATATCAAGAATATCAGGATTCCTCATGGCATCATAATTTATACATGCATTGCAACTGGATGATGATAGTGAGGCATTTGTGGTTACAATATTTAGGGTTGATTGGGTATTGATGAATGTACCCAACCTCGTGGAGCATTCTACAATGCATGACCACGTGAAACAACTACCTCCCAGACATCACCTTCTATATCAAACCTTTATCCCTCTAAAGCAGCCTCGACGATTTCTTAATCATCAATTATTGGTTTGTCATCATCTAGCATGAGTGAAACAAAAGTTTCATCATCCTAGCTAAAATCAACAAGGTTTTCACCGAATCACCCAACAAGATTATCTCGATCATTTAATGTTCTACTTTTTCAATGACGAGTGCAACTATCATTTGATTATTTGAAGATTGATGGAGGCCAACCATCACAACAACATCGTCATCACCCTCAAGATGGATTGCTCCATATATGAGTGGAGTCTCTAAAATTATGTGTTGATAACTCAAACATGAAATAGAAGCGCCAAGTTTTCTTTCAATTTTATGCTTCATTTGGCGATGAGATATATATACATGGAATATCATGTTTACGGGCCTTTGTGACATAAAATAGCACCATCATCAGTTTGTACAACTTGGCCATTTGAATAGACAACTATTAAAAATTTGTTAGCCATTTCTTGAGAAAAGTTTCTAGTTGTTCAATGAAATTGTAGAAAGTATAATTTTGTGAAGATTCACATAACATAAGCCGATTTTTAAAAAATGAGTTATCATCAATGATCATTCAATTTGGTGACAGAAACTTTTCAGTGTCCAATAACTTCATTTAAAAAAAAATCAGTGATATATCACTTCATTTCAGAAACTTGTCAGTTGTGATATATCGCTTCATTTCAGAAAAACTTCCATTTCTCATAGATCATTTAATGTACAATAACAAAAACTTTTAAGTGGCCAATAACTTCACATCAAAAACTTTTCAGTGATATATCAATTCATTTTAGAAAATTGTTAGTAGTGATATATCACTTCATTTGAGAAAAAACGTCCATTTCTCATAGACCATTTAATACACAATGACAAACATTTCAGTGCCCATTAACTTCACTTCATAAACTTTTCCGTGATATATCAATTCATTTAAGAAATTTTTCAATAGTGATATATCACATCATTTCAGAAAAAAAAAACATCCATTTGTCATAGACCATTTAATGCACAATGGTAGAAACTTTTCTGTTGATATATCACTTCATTTCAGAAACTTTTCATAAACCTATTAAAATATGTGAGGTGAAAGCTATTTTACTCACTTGAAGCAATAAACATCTAAAATTTTTTGAGTCTTTCACTTCCAAAGCTTGAGTTTTTTATGCTAAAATGGTTACTATTAGTGCAACTGTTTTTTTATTATTGCAAATCTTTAACTATGTCTTTTAAAGAGAAAAAACATTCAACTAGACGAGTTATAGTTGAATATAAAAATAATGGTGCAACTCTGAGCAGTAGAAGAATGTCTTCATTATATTATAAATTGTCACTATCATGCACGAGGTTTCATCTAAGCGATGATGTCGACCTTGCTAGTATGATTGAGAGATACTACTATCATTCTATATCTAATGTCGATTTGTTTTGTAGAGTTTGCTGATCTCTACCTTGCTTATATAGTTGAGGATGATGCTTCCAACTCGAATTTCCCATCAACTATGAAAAATGATAAAGAAACAGAGATAGGTGACAGAGATCCAGAAGCATGGTTCCAATTTGTACATGAACAAAAATAAGGAAAAACATGAAGAATTGAATATTACTTCTGATGAGTCTACACGAGGATTAAAACATCATTACGAATACTTTCTATGTTTATGATTTTATTTACTATTTAAGGTTATGTAAGGTTGGTTGTATTTATGTTCTTAACATATTGTATTAGGTTTGTTGTTTTTATCTTTTTAATGTAATGTTCATGCTTTGTTGTTTTTTATCTCCTTAATGTAATGTTTTATGGTTTAATGTAATATTTATGGTTCGTTGTTTTTATAAAAAAAAATCTATTACAATCTCCTTAAATTATGACCGTTGAAACTTATCACTCAGCATGACGAATTTTTTTCTTATATCTTTTTTAAAATATCCAATCACAAAAAAATTATTTTAATGAAATTCATCATCTCAAGATGATGAGTTCCATGAAAAATAATTAAATATTACACAAAACAAATCTGCCAAATAAAAAAATATTTTTCATTAAAGCTCGTCATTTGACAAGTTTCTTGAACTATGTAACCATATATTCCCAAATAAACTTGTTCTATTTTCACAAATAATATACCCCTTCCCCTGTTTGGAAAAAAAACCGAAAACGCAATCAGAAGATCCATTAAATTTGAACAAACAAAACCGATCCAGATTCGAAGCACCTGGTTGGTCCGAACAACTCAGTCACCTAGTCAAAACTCGCCAACTCGCCCTCTTTTATATATCCACTAATTCTCTCGGTTTGGTTTTACTTTGACTGAAGACTCAATTCTTCGTTTTTGGGTTAATTAGTTTGGTGAAGGAAATAAATCTAAATCATGTTTTTTCTTCGATCGGTTCTATGGGATTCTTGCTTCCCTTGGTTTGTGGCAGAAAGAGGCCAAGATCTTGTTTTTAGGGCTTGAAAATGCCGGCAAAACGACGCTGCTTCACATGCTCAAAGACGAGGTATTTTCATTGTTCACCCTTAATTCATTATTTTTTTATATCACTTTCCTTTTTTTGGGGAATTTGATTTGTGTTTTATATTGCTGGTTTTTTCTGATGGAGTTCTAATATCTGATCTAATGCTATTGAACGTTTAATTCACAATTACGGCTATTTAACATCTTCTGTTTTGAACTATTGTTGATATTATGTAGATAATATCCGTGTAGCTGGAAATTTTTTTATTTAAAAAAGAAAATAAAGGGTTGCTTTTTGTTTCTACAAAAAATTGATCCATAGTTGTTTTTTAATGGCATTTGGCAGAGATTAGTTCAACATCAGCCAACACAGCATCCTACATCAGAGGAATTGAGTATTGGGAAAATTAAGTTCAAGGCTTTTGATTTGGGAGGCCATCAGATTGCTCGAAGAGTTTGGAAAACTACGCCAAGGTGTATTTCGTTTGCCCATAAATCCATGTACTTTTATTTTATTTTCAGACAAATTAAAAACAAAACAAAACAAAACTATGCACCTATCTTTCAAATTTTAGTTGCTATACACACACACAGGATTCACTTGCATAACCTTTTTTTTAGTTTTACAGATTTAGAATGGTTGGAAGACTAAAATAGACCGCTGAGATTAGCTCATTTTTTTGGTGAATATCTTCTCATTTTCTACTATTAATCTCAATCATTTATTTTCACTTATCCAACTGTCTTAAGTATGTAAATTAAAAAATTTTACATAGTGTAATTGGAATGCACGTGTGTATTATACAAAGTGTTTAGTTATGATGTGTAGTGTGTAACATAGGTTCAATCATTTGCAGATGTTAGCTCCCTTTTGAAATTAACTTTAGGTAGTGAATTCTAAAGTGCATTAGGAAGTTAATGTTCAAGTTTGGTGAAATATGGTAAAGTTTGTTGCATTGCGTAAAGGGGAATTTTAGAATATGGGAGTAATATTGCATCTGGTCGATTTCTTTACTATTTGACATTAGCACTTATTTAATTGCAAGTGTGTTTTATCATAGTCCTCTTGTTAGTGTGCCTCTGTAATCCCAGATAATGATTGTCGTGATTTTCTGATCCATGTGGGGCAAAGAATAAGGATGGGTAGTTCGTTGATAACAACTTTAATTTCATCAAAAGTTGTTCTGATAGCACCTCTACACGCAATAATTCCACTCTATGTTAATGAAGTAACAATATGAACCGTGTAGGACTATTTTTTAAAGGAATAACATGGGGTTATCTTTGGGATACCGTCTGAAACTACAATTCTTAACCAGAATATGCATTTTCTTTTATTTTTTTCAGAGCATATTAAAACTTGTATCAAAGCTGTTGGTAGGTGGATGTTGTTGTTTACCTGGTGGATGCATATGACAAGGAGAGGTTTGCCGAGTCAAAAAAGGAGTTGGATTCTCTATTCTCTGATGAATCTTTGGCTAACGTTCCGTACCTGATATTGGGAAACAAGATCGATATACCATACGATGCCTCAGAAGATGAGTTGCATTATCACCTTGGCCCGACAAACTTCACCACCGACAAGGGTAAGGTCAACTTGGGAAACTTGAACGTCCGCCCCCTCAAGGTATTCATGTGTAGCATTGTTCGAAAAATGGGTTATGGAGATGGATTCAAGTGGGTTTCTCAATACATCAAGTAGGTAGGTGGTATAGAGAATTCAGATATACTATGCTTTCTTCCTCGATGTTCTTTTTATATTGAATTTAGTTGGGCTATCCCTTTCGCTTTTGATTCCATTTTTGTTTGCATTAATAAACATACACCTCCTCTATGAAACAATGAGACATACAAGTAATTGATGATTTGCTCACAAATGTTGATTGAGGGTGATGATTTCCTTCTAGTAAAATCTTAGATGAAAATGTTGCCTTTGTCATAACCGTCTTTCGGGTGAGTCTGGAATTGGGCTTCGACTTAAATAAAACATGTTAGAGTCGCCATTGATTATTTAAAAAAATAAAAAAATTAGGTTGATCAGACACTTTAATTTACCATCTTATCTGATCTGCGTTTTATTAGAAATATGTCGGATTTGAGAATCGGTTACAGTCAAGGAAGGATTAGCATCCTTGTACTGTCCTTTCGGTATCATTTTAATTTTTCGATTGTCTTAATTGCGAAAAATTAAACATCCTTGTACTGTCCTTTCGGTATCATTTTAATTTTTCGATTGTCTTAATTGCGAAAAATTAAAAGTTAAATTGAAATTTAAAGATTCGATCCGAATTACTTACTTTTGATCGATTAAAAGTACACCTAAAAAGTAAAAAAATGTTAGATTGAAAAAAATAAATATTAAATAAATCAAAGAGGAAAAAGATTATGTTGAGAAAATAACAAAAAAAAATTAAAAAATGTTAAGAGACAACTAAAAAAATAAAAGGAAAAAATGTTAAATTTTAAAAGTAATAATAAAAAATAATAATAAAATAAAAGAATGTTGAAAGAGAAATAAAACAATATAAAACAATGTTTAAAAATAATAAAAAATGAAAAAAAAATGTTAAAATTAAAATAAATAAATAAAAAAAAATTAAAGGATCAAACTAAAATAAATTGAAAATTATGGATTAAATTGATGCTAAAAATGAGTTACAAGAGAAAAATAAAAGGTTAGGGGGATTAAATTGCAAAATGTAAGAAATATAATAAAGGATTAAATCAAAATAATTCAAAATTCAATGGTCAATTTATAACAGGTGACCAAAATAAATTACACATCAAAGTTGCAGAAATAACTAAATTGTTTCATAATTATAATGTGGCACACCCAATAAATAACCAAAAATAGAAAAAAACATTCATTTTCACTATTCTTCTAAAATATTAAACCCCCATCCCCCTCGAATATTCTCTCATCTCTCCCTTAGCCAGTCGAATACCGGCCAACCTCCGATGAAGCCCCCTCGCCGTTGACGGTCGCTCCAACCATCGGGAAAATAAAAAAAAAATCTCCAAAAATTCCTCTCATCCCCGTAACCTTAAAATTGAGACCTGATTTTCCTAAAAGGCTCATCACCAGCGGAGATCTAAAAACAAAGATTCGAGTTTTACCTTTGATCCGATTACTTTTCAAATTCCCGGTGGCTTTCCTTTCACAACGAGATCCCCCAATGCGCTCCCGGTGTCATTCGTCGAAATAAAATCTTTGGCCTTGATTTTTTTGCTTTCGATTTATGAATGATTTTTCTTTTTGGGATTTGTTGCCTTGAATATTTTTGTGTTTTTTATTGTTTCGATTGTTTTCTTTTTTGTGTTGTGCTTTCGGTTTTTCTTATTGTGGTTGCCTAATGCTCCGTTGAGGCCCCTCCTTTTTATAGCCTTCGAAGAAGGGTTACTTCCCTTGAATCGGGTGTTGTAATCTCGATTTCGAATGGATTTTGGGTGTGGTGGATTCTCTCGGCATGTAGTTGCTGAAAATGTGGTAGGTTTTCCCTTCCGATCTTTTCGGATTTTGTTCCGATTTGATCTCCGAGTTCACCAGGATTTTTTGTTTTCGGAACATATTGCTCCCTTGTCGACGTGTGGTCCTCATGCTTCATACTTGACTCTTGATATCTTGACCGTGCGACGCTCTTGCTACATATGAAACCCTAATAAACTTGTGGGCTGGGTCAGACTTGCATGCTCAAATAGGTTTTCCTCTATTGGACCGTGACCCTTGCTTTTAGATTAGAACTGAAAAATAAGAAATATAATAATAAATAAAATGAAACAAAAAATAAAATAATAATATGTATATATTTCAAAAAATATGTTTTCCAAAAAAAATTTAAAATTTATTATATGTTTTCCAAAAAAAAAATTAAATATTATTATATATTTTCAAAAACCATTTTAAAAAATACATATAAAAATACATATACTATATGTTTTCAAAAATATTTTAAAAAAACTATATAGTATAGGTTATTAAAAATAAGTTTTCAAAAACTATATTATATATTTTTTCAAAAATATTTTAAAACTATATATTATATGTTTTCAAAAATGTGTTTTCAAAACTATATATTATATGTTTTCCAAAATCGATTTTTAAAAAACTATATATTATATATGTTTTCCAAAAATATGTTTTCAAAACTATATTATATATATTTTTTCAAAAACCGATTTTTTAAAAAACTATATATTATATTGCTTTCAAAAACCGTTTTCTAAAGATTATATATTATATGTTTTTCAAAAATATTTTCCAAAACTATACTATATTATTATATATATTAAATAAGCCTCGGACGAAAATGGGTGTCTACAACTGTCCCTCTTTGTCCATTTTTCGTGTAACGAAAAAAGGACAGAGATAAAAGAACACAAATTTTCGTTCGGTATGAAGGGGTCCCTGAGTCTAATATCCTCCCTTGTGGAGTTGAAATTTGACTCTAATATCGCAGTTAGGAATAGCTCCCTGTTAAATTAAGTTACGGATGACTCCTCTATCGCGAAGTTGAGTCAGTTTTGAAATAATATCCTTCATCATGAAATTGAGTCAATCTTGGATGTTAAGAGCATGATATCCTTCGTTGTGAAGTTGAAATCTAGTTCGAAATCTGAATTGGAAAATGTCTTCTTGTTGCCAAATCGTAGTCAACATTGGTCTTCTTATTGGCTTAAAGACCTCGGTTCAACCGAAAAGTAGTTCATCGCTGCTACTATGCGATTGATATGCCCTCGAACTAAATCAGTTGACAGACAACTTTTCTCGACTTAAGCTATGATGTAAATTAGGCTAGGAGGTAGATCCTTGTTGCTAAATCGCGGCCAACCTAGGTCTTCTTCTTGGCTTAAAGACCTCAGTTTAAAATTCAACTGGAAAGTAGTTCCTTGTTGCTACCATGCGGTTGATATGCCATCGAGCTGAATGAAATCGAACTCGAAAGTTTCCGTTGACAGATAACCCTTCTAGTCTTGAGCTATGATGTAATTAGGCTAGGAGATAGCTCCATGTTGTTGCGGATGACTCTGTTGTCGTATAGTCAGGTTGATTTATTGGGCACGATATCCCTCGTCGTGAAGTTGAAATCGTGGGTGACTCATTCGTCGTGCGTCGAGTTCAGATTGGTTTTGAGTTGGATATCATTCGTTGTGAAGTTGAAATCCAATCTTGTGTAAGTTGTATCGTTTCGAGTTCAATATCTTTTGTTATGAAGCTGAAATTGACTCTGACAAGAATCTGTAAAACTATGCATATATGTGATGCTATGAATGTAATGCTCTTATGTGTGCCTAAAATGCATATGCGAAATATGTTATTTTAGGATTTAGAGATAAATCTCAATCTTTTGTTGCAGTCTTGATGACTCTTGATTCTAGAATCTTGAATTTATGATTCTTGATATTGGATTCTTTAACATGCTTAAATCCAATGTACATTATGTGAACTTGCAAAAGGAAGGTTTATTTCTAGTTTTGAGTTAAGCAATGGCTTTCAACGAACTAAAACCCATCCTCTCGAGTATGGTGCATAAGCCTTGATCGGTTTTCGAACATCTGTACCTTTCAAAAAAAATCTTTGTACAGTAATACGCAATTATCTTTTCAAAAGTTAATAAATAATTCTCATTTTAATTCAATCCAATATGCTTAAAAGGAATTGATTTTTTTAGAGAAATGATCATATTTATTTATGAGGAAAAAGAAAAAAGAATACATGACAAATGTTATGAAAAACCAATATAAAGAAATACAAGTTGATGCCCTAGATCTCGACAATGCGGACGCCGTTGAACTGATACACCGTTAGATGACTTTTGAATACATCTTTTGTTAAGGGGCCTTCGAAAATGTGACAACGTTCAGGAGAGTGCAAAGTTCCTCTGCATTCTCAAGACAACAGAAGACTTGGATGCCGTGAAGCTTTTGCCTTGATCCGAGACTTTTCCCTTGCGCGAATCTTGGATCACTATCTGAGCCACCCTTTCGGGTTTTCAACTTGGATCCATCCTTGGTTTCAAGATGCCCTTTGGGGTTTTTATCTTGGACCCACCTTATTTTTTGTTCTTTTTTTTTCATTTGAAGCACCCTTTCGGGTTTTCACTCTAAACTTTTTTAATTCAAAATTCAACTTAAGGGGCCCTTTCAGGTTTTCACCCTAAGCGAAATATTTCTTGAGTGCATCAGAATTAACGGGATTAGGTAGCTCCGGCCCGTCCATTTCAGTCAGGATTAGTGCTCCTCCAGAGAAAGTCTTCTTTACGACAAAAGGTCCTTCCCAATTTGACATCCATTTTCCTATATAGTCCTTTTGGATTGGCCAAACCTTTTTCAGTACAAGATCTCATTCTTGGAATACTTTTGGGTGAACTTTCTTGTTGTGTGCTCGGATCATTCATTTAGAAAGTCTTCTTTACGACAAAGGTCATTCCCAATTTGACATCCATTTTCCTATATAGTCCTTTTGGATTGGCCAAACCTTTTTCAGTACAAGATCTCATTCTTGGAATACTTTTGGGTGAACTTTCTTGTTGTGTGCTCGGATCATTCATTTTTTGTAGAGCTGACCATGATGAATGGCTTTCAACCTCTTTTCTTCTATTATGTTCAATTGATCATATCGAGATTGCATCCATTTTGCATCATCTAATTTAACTTCTGCCAAAACCCAAAGTGATGGAATCTCTACCTCGATGGGTAATACTGCCTTCATCTTATATGCTAATGAAAATGGGGTTGTCCCGGTCGAAGTTCGTACCGAAGTTCAATAAGCAAACAAAGCAAAATCTATTTTCTCGTGCCAATCCTTGTATGTCTCAGTCGTTTCTCTACTATTTTCTTGATAT